ATTTATGTATGCAAGTCTAAGTTCATATTTGTCAAAATTATTTCTAAGTCCTAAGAGAGGATAACTTTATCTGGGTTTATGGGACATTCAGAGAGAAGATTGGTTCATGGGTAAATTAAAGAGGTCGATGAGTTCTCCTAACTATATGCAAAATTTGCTGTGTGTTTATGTGTTTACAGAGAGACAGTCTAAACTTTTAACAGCTCATCAGTGAATTTTAGTCACACAAAAAGCCCAGTATCACAGCCCTAAAGAAGTTATACATAAATTAGCTAAACAAACAGCACTCCATCCCCTACCATCATTTTAGAAGCTGATTGAATTTTGTTCCTGAAACAAACCAGGAATCTATATATATAAAAGACTAATATGCAAAGTGTCCCCTCGGGAGTTTGACCAGGAGACCAGGAGTTCCATCACTTGATATGCGCTGACCACCAGAGGGCGGCACAGAATGAAGGAAGGCCCAGGCCGGCAGACAGGGAAGGGAGGCCCTGGCCAGCAGTGGAAGGCCCCATTGGCCCTCATCACTGCGAGGCCTAAGGACCCTACCCATGCACGAATTTCATGCACTGGGCCTCTAGTTTTTACATAAAACCCATCTTCCCTAGCTTTGGTGTGTCTTAGCTGCCAAAGTCCTTGGCTTGGTCTTCTGCTCTCACATTGTCTTCTTATTATATTTATTCCTCCTCTTACTATCAAACGTTCTACATAGTCCACATCAGCTCCTTCTATTTTTATCATGAATTACCTTTTCCCTTACCATCACCACTCCTGGAACACCATGTTCTTGAAGGTCATCAGTGACTTCAAAATTAGTAAATCCAATTGTCGTTCCTTAGTCCTTCTTGTCTTTGAATAGTTTGCAGTATTTGACATTGCTAACAAATTTCTTCTCTGAAACTTATTTCTTCTCTGATAATAATAATAGGAGCTACTAAAATGGAGTACTAGCTATGTGCCAAAGGTGTTGTGTTACCTCAATTCTTTCATAACTCTAAGAAGCAGACATTATTATTATCATTTTGTATGTGGAGAAAGTGAAGATTTGTCGTTAAGAATATTTGCCTAACCGTAAAATGCTCAGGGTATCAGATCCTAAAGTCAGGTTTGCCTGCCATTCATACTGCAGAATTTTGGTTAGTACAGGATCCACGAGTTACCTATCACTTGGTGTGGCAGCAGCTAGTTAACTTTTAATCTAAACAGAATGATGTATTTCTCAAAGCTGCCTCTTTACTTAACAACTTTCACTTATTTATAACATTTTATATTGGATATCAATTCTTCGATGTGATTTGCAATACAGCACAGAAATTTGAGAATTCTAACAGTGACACTCCCAACACTTTATACTGCCAAATTCTTGTCATAAATACCACCATGTGGAAAAATGACTAAATGGCTCTTTTCAGTGTTATACAAACAGCATTGGAACAGTTCATTAGTTAGCCAACTCACATATTTGTAATAGGAATATTACTTGATTTCGGAATCACTACAGCTATTACTAACAAATTTTCCCAAATGCTTTACTTTCAAGATCTGCTTAGCTGTCAGGCATTCTCTTTCACATTTTCTTAAACAAGTTTTTGGGTTCCAAATACACACAGTGAAGACTTCCTTAAAGAGCACCACCCTAAGTAAAAACCCTCCAGTCTTCATAGTCTCATCACTTTCCTGCAACTCAATAAATCTAGTGGCACCATCAATTAAACATTTAATGTTATCTTAGAAATAAAAATATTAATGTTATTAATACTTTCTCTAATAAGCACAATATGTCTCCAGATACAGCAAAAATTACACCATAAACTGTAATCGGTGTTTGCTTATTTTGTTGCTTAATTCCTATTCCAAAACGAGCATTTTTATCAGTAACTTTAAATATTGTATGCATTGTGTTATTTCCATTTTCATATTTTTATCTTTAAAAATACTAACATATACTTTGAAAGTTTCAAATAATTCAGAAATCTTAACAAATCCAAATATTATGTAATCCACATTTTAGAGATAATCACAGTCAATAGTAGTCTATAGATCTTTCCAGATGTCTTTATTTTTATCTGTGTAGACCTAGATAGAGAGATAAAGAATATTATAAACATAAGATGCTAATATATACGGAGAAATAAATTATTTAGTAAAGCTGATATTTACTAATAAAAGTCTTCTGCTGGAATATATGAGCTGTCTTATTTTCTTTTACTGCTGCATCCTATGTTACTGTGCAAAGTACTGTAGTAAATATACTCAATACCCTCTTGATCAACATTTAGGTGTTTCCACATTTTTGATATTACAAACAAAATAACAGTAAAATTATTTGTGTTCCAGGCTGAATATTCCTGTATAATTAATTCCTGGAAACAAAATTACTATATCAAATGATGCAGATTTTTGCTATTATTAGGTATTATCAATTTCTTTTCAAAAACAAAATGATATTTAAATTCACAACTACCAGAATGTGAAAATAATTGTTTTTCTATGACCTGCCAACACTAGCCATTATCAGTCTCTGGAATCTTCATATGTCCTGATGGGTGAAAATAATATCTAATTGCTGCTTTAATTTGCATATTTTTTATTAATAGTGAGGCTAAGAATATTTCCCTATATCTATGACCTGTGTACTTCCTTTTCTATGAACTGTCATTTCTTTTTCTTTGCCACTGTTTTCTTCCTTATTTGTGGACTGTTTTATATACTATAAAAATTAACACTTTGTCATCTGTTCCACATTTTTCCACTTCACCTTTGGCTTCCAGCTTCATTTATGATGTCTTTTGCTATATAGATACTTTAAACGTTTATGTAGCCAGATCTGTGAGTCATTTTCTTTATGGCTTCTGGGATTTATATTATGCTTATAAAGATATCCCTATTCTTAAATCTATAAAAATAATCCCACATTTTTAGTACCTTTATGATTTTTTTATAACACTAACTCTTTTGGCATTTATTTTATGTGTGTTAGGAATTTGTGTGTGTGTGTGTGTGTGTGTGTGTGTGTGCACTATTTATTTGAATAAGCTACTCTCTTACAGGTGCTTTGAACAGATGCAAGGGTAAGAAAGTTTTGCCCTTTCTTTACTGAAGTTGATCTTTGGCAGAAATTATGCATTTTGGCTCTTCCAGTCTTCTCCTATTTGCTATGCTTCATCAGTCCCTTCCTGGTAGAACCTAGTGGTTAGACTACTAGTTTTTACATTTTTATCACCTGCTTGCTTATTCCTTCTATTACTTCCTAGATTTGTTTACACGCGTGTCACTCACCATCTGATCAAGTCTTCTTCCTTCTATCTCCAAAGTATATCATACATCTATATTTTCACCTTCTTGTTTTCTACCTCGTCCTGCTAGTCCACGTCAATGGTACTTTTCTAATAACTTAATTAATTTCCTGCTTCACTCATTACCTCTCTCCATGCACTTTACATACTGAAGCTTGGGGTGTCCCTCTGAATTTATAAATCAGAGACAGTCTCTTCCTTGCTTAAACCCCTCCAATGGCTTTCCTTCTCTTTCAACATGGTCCTTCCTGATGCGACTCTGGCCCACCTCTTTGCCTTGTTAACCATGTTGGAGTCGACAGGGTCTTTTTTTTGAGTTCCTAAACATGCTTAAACCTTGCTTTTCTCTATGCCTTTGTACTTGACATTCCCTTTTGGGCGGGCTTCTCTAATCCAGTTATTTGCTTGACTAGCTTTTTCTGAACCTTCAGGCCCCCAGTGAAAGTCACCCACTCAGAAAGCTGTTCTAGCCAACCTCCAGGATAAGCCCTTCCACTCCCAAACTCCAATTACTCGACCAACCCTACCATCATCTTTGCTTTTATCACAATCTATAATTATTATTTTCAGTGTATTATTTATCACTATATTCCCCACTAGAATATCAACTCCCAGAACCTAGAATGCAATTTGCCTTGTTAAACCATATATCCTCCTAGCCTCACAAAATGTCTGGTACAAAGTAAAAATCAGTAACTATCTTTGAATAAACGAACTAGCAATGTATGATGAGTTTTCTCTTCACACACCTTTGAGGCATACTTAGAACAGTTAAGACCTTTCTTTGTGTTATCTTAAGAGAAAATCAAGCAGAGGCTAAGAAGACAATGAGGTAACATGCACAAGATAAATGTTATATACTTTTCTTTTTTTAAAAATATATTTTTATTGATTTTTTACAGAGAGGAAGGGAGAGGGATAGAGAGTTAGAAACATCGATGAGAGAGAAGCATCAATCAGCTGCCTCCTGCACACCCTCTACTGGGGATGTGCCTGCAACCAAGTTACATGACCTTGACCGGAATCGAACCTGGGACCCTTCCGTCCCCAGGCCGACGCTCTATCCAGTGAGCCAAACCATCTAGGGCTGTTATATACTTTTCTTGTCTTAAGTATATATTTTTTTCTCATTTGTTTTTATTAGATTCAATTTATAGGATGGGCTAAGTAAGGAAGAAAGTAAGTCCTATAAGAAGAAGGTAGGACTGTTAATGCAAATTCACATGCATGGTTGTAGCCAGATTGCTCTTTGATAAATTTAAACCTGGTAGAAGAGAATTTCAAAGTGCTTATACCATGAGATGTCTGTCCACAAAACAACTAGATAATGCTGATACAAGCCACTTTTAAAGTAGGAAAAAGCCCATTCCATTCGGGAAACCCAGGCGAATTAGTGAGCCCACTTAGGAAAATCCCATCTGTTCACACGTTGACTGCTTCCTTAGCACTAGAAGACCTGTGGAAAAGGGAGGTTGGAGTCAAACGTTATTCCTGTCAGTTGATTATCCATGTTGAACCTTCCTTAGCAAATTTCACACAAAATTTGCTAGTTTTTATAACCCTTTATCCCTCCCTCTTTTGCAACTAGTTTATATTTGATTAAATTACTTAATTTCAACTACATATACATTCTTATAGGCAAGTGTGCAAGGCATTTTACCACTTCTTTGCTCCAAATGTTTAAAATCAAGAGATGGCCTGACCGAAATAGCTCAGATGGGAGAACGTTAGGCTGAAGATCTAAAGGTCCCTGGTTTGATCCTGGATTTCAGCAGAGTTGTTGTTCATTCTTAAGCCTTGCCCAGGTAGCTCAGTTGATTAGAGCATTGTTCTGATACACCAAGGTTGTGGGTTTGATCCCTAGTAGGGACACGTAAGTAAGAGCAGCAACAAATGCATGCATAAACGGAACAGCTAATCTCTCTCTCTTTAAAATCAATCAATTTTTTTTAAACAAGAGGAATATTTTGGGTGTTTTTTTTTTTCCTGAAAAATATGTATGCTTCCTCTTTTCTTAATGGAAAACTTACAAATTAAAATGTTTACCTATTTGTTCTGATAGCCATTTTTGCTATTCAGTAACAAAGTACTCGCCACTTTAAACATTTTACTTTGTTTTTATGCCCTTGATTTTTCTAAAATCATATAAGTATATATGATATGAATATTATGTTTTACATTAATATACCTTATAAGACTATGTACATCATTTTAGGGGAAAAGCACAACATACACTGGCTATAAATAAAAAGTCTAGAATTTCATTCAACACAGATGCTGGTCAGGTTTTGCTTATTTGGTACTTTCTGTATTTTATAAATGACTTGGAAGGTGATAGATGATGATAGATAGGTAGATAGATAGTATAGATATGATAGATAGATAGATAGATAGATAGATAGATAGATGATAGATAATAGATAGATAGATAATCTGACAATTCTATTAGACTGTGAATTGCTTGAGGACAGGGATGAAACCCTTCGTACTTCTACTCTGGGGGCCTATAACAGTGGCTATATTTTTGTTCCATACTCAAATGTTTGCTGACTGATTAAGGGGAAGGAGAGAGGAAACACATTTCTTGGTTGAATATTTATAGCAACTAATTCTTAGCCAGAAGTGAGTAACACAACACAAATTCAGTTTATTTTTATATGACTCAAACCCTTCACATTTTTAAAGACAGTTACCACATGTCCCCTTTGTCTGATTCCAAGCTAAATAACATTCTTTTTGTGTGTGTGCAACATAGTTTCTAAAACTTTTAACATTCAAGTTCTGGCCTTATAAATATCCTCTGGGTTTATCATAATTCCATTAAAATGTATAGACCTGAATTAACCCCATATTCCTCTCATGATCTGTCCAAAATTAAACTTCCCATTTTTGACACTCAAGAACATGATTTGACATGATCTGTCCAGGTGAAAATATTAATTCCAGTTATTTAAGCATTATACACATAAAGTATAGGTCAGTATTATTTGGGTTTTAATTAGTTATATCACTCTGTTCTTACTAAGCTCATACTCAATTAAAATTTAACATTGTTCTTTTTCCCACATGAATTGCTACAAAACAACCTCTCCATAGAGCTCATAGAGTGCTTTTAAAAATTCAAAATGAAAGATTTTACTTGTACACTCTTAAATTTCCACTTGTTCAGAAACATTAAGACTATCTTAATTCACTTAGCGGTAAACTGTTTTAAATTCTAAGTGATTTTCTACTACATGATTATCCATACTGAGATTAAATTTCATAATAGGTTGTGATGCAGGTTAGATATAAGATGACACTAGGTCATGAACCAATACTTTTCATGTATGTGTGGTCAGTTAACTGTGTATTCTCCTAAAATAATTTATTTTATCAGATTTTCCCATATTGTCCATAAAGATTATCATTTCATCACATTTTTTAACATTAAAGAAACTCAAAGGCTATCAAATCTCAAGAAAGTATTTCATGCAACTGTATTGGGTAAAGGATAAAACATGTACTTGCATCTGCGTGCGCACACGCGCACACACACACACACACACACACACACACACACACACATCATTGAGATGGAAAAGAATGGACAAAAGATATGGAACAGACAATTCACATCGGAATAAATAAATCTTGTAAATGAAATATATATAACTGCTCAGAGAAAAAACAAATTGAAATGCAATATACAGTTTTACATAATAAATTAGCTAATGTTGGTGGTAAAGATAACAAAAATTCTAAATCACTCAAGGGCTGAAGCATTTAAAATTGATACAATGCTTTTGAAAATCAACTTGTCATGATTTATCAAAAAGTATTAAAAATAATGAATCATTTGAATTCATAAATCTAGGAAAAGTTCTCATTGTGAAAATGCTCATTAAAGCATTACTAGCAATATTTAGTTGTGGAATGGTTAAATTAATTAAAGTCCAGCTAGGCTGTTTAAGAAAGAATGGCTATCCTGAGAGTCCTCTCAAAAAATGTGTCTATGTGTATAAAGACTCTGTATTTCTTCTATTATTTTCTTTCTTCTTCTTTTTTTTTTTTACATAAGAGCTAGTGTCATAATGGGGTGTGGAGTTGGGAACATGTCTAGTAAGATGTAAAAAAAGGTGTCCTCAAATGTTATAATGATTTGTGGAATTTATAGAGGTAGTTGAATGACTTTTTAAAAAGCATCAATTGTTTGGCAGAGTTTGAATCTTCCCCACATCCCTGCTCATAGCCAGGTAAACATAGGTACATTGTTATGGAGATAGTATACTTCAAGGCTCTGTGTAAATATTTGGAAATTCTAGTCAATAAATGATATGGGAAATCATTGTTGTTCATTTTTGCCCCAGCCTCTTCCCTTTTCCTTCCCCTCACTTCTCACCCTCCCAAGCCTAGAAGGTGTTATTTATTTATTATCAGAAATAATGTGATAATCCACTTGGATCTTAAAAGATGCATGAAATTTTGCCATCCTGGAAAAAAGATAAAATATCCCAGGCATACAAAAGAGACATAGGAAAAATGTAAAGGTTTATGGCCAACTTTAGGGATCAGTAATACAGCAGGAAGTGGAGGCAGGGATGGTGCTTAAGGGTCTGTAGGGAGGAAGATGGACAGGGAGGAGGAAATAGCATTGCAGAGACAGAGAGAAGCCTTGCAAATGTCCTGGTAAGATAGGATGAGGGTTTTGTTTCTTATTCTGGGCCAGAAGACAAGAATCACTTTAAGCAGTTTATAACATAACTAGAGGCCCAATGCACGAAATTCGTGCAAGGGGCTCGGCCCTCGCAGCCCAGGCTGCCTCGGCCTTCGCAGACCCTGCTGCCTCATGGCCCTGGCTGCCTTGCGGCCCCATGGCCTCACCCACTGGTCATTCTGGAAGGTCGTTCCTCCATCTGGTCTAATTAGCATATTAGCTCTTTATCATATAGGATTATATTTGTGCTTTAGAAAGAATTCTAGCACTGTTGTTCATCATTCATATATATATAGTGAACTGTGGTTCCTTTCCCATACCAAATGCACTAAGAAACCATTTTCTAGGTAAGAAATGCCATTTGCTATTTCAGTTGCTCTTTGTAGAACCCATTATTGAATGTAATTCTGCTCACTATTTTCCATTGGAAACGATTACTTCCAACAACAAAAAATACTCAGTTTATCATCTCAACCAGGTATCTTCAGACTGTAAACCAGGTCTTTTATTATAATAAGCAGGTTGGAAAAAAAGCTGGCATTGGTTGGAGGAAAAAATAAATAAACAAATATCTTTATGTGTAAAGGCAATTAAATTTCCTTACAGATTAGTATAATTGCTGATAGACCACTACACATTTTATTCTGAAATAATTTTCAGATTATCCTCCTCTTTTAAGTTATTGCTCTTGGTAGAAGTTTATTGGTTAATTTAGTTGGCACAAATAAGCATCTATATTAAAATTCTGACTTGCCAATCAATCATTTAATATAGAGTAGAAAGAACTGGTTTAATAAAAGTGTATTTTAACAATTTTAAGTCTTGTTCTGGTTCAGTTGGTTGAGCATCATGCCATATGCCCAGAGGTCACGGGTTTGATTCCCAGTCAGGACACATGCCTGGGTTGATCCCTAGTAGGGGACTTGAGGGAGGCAGATGATCAATATGTCTCTCTTCTACCTCTCTTTTTCTCTCTCTTTAAAAAAAAGTCAATGAAAACATATAAAAAAAAAAACTATTGTAAGACTAGATTAATAATTAGTACAATTACCGCCATGTATGTTTTTATATATACTAGTACTTATAAATGAATACTAGATGCATACACACTCACACACTCACACACACACACACACACACACACACACACACTTACACAGACCTTACCAAAGGAAAATCACAGTGAAGAAATAATATATATAATATGCAAGATATGGTTATTCCATGCCTTCAAAATAATGAAGTTTGAACTTTTATGTACATACTTTTTCCCCAATACAACTTAGTTCTTTTTTGAAAATAAAAATGCAGTAAATATATATAAGAACAATTTTATAAATAAATTTATACTTTGTTAGTTATGTAATATAGTATAATTATTAGAATCTGTTATATATTTAATATGTACATGCTTTTAGCATTGATTCTTGTTAATTTCATGAAATTTGGTAATGATTATATGTTATAAAAACAAGTGACTGAAAATAAGCCTCATTTACCAAAGTGATAAAATCACAGATAAGAAACCAAGTGTGAATATTTTATTAAGAGAGAATTTTCCTAGAATGTTTTTATTTTCAAAATAATAATATGTTCACCTCTCCTATACTTTTACTTTGTTTTATTTCAAGGGGAAATTATTTATGTAGTGATAGTTATACTCTTGTGTTTTTCAATTATTTTACTGCAGCCAATGTGCTATTTGGAATTTTTAATTGCGAAGATTTAGATACTTTTAACATATGAGAAATATCTTTATATATAAAAGGCTAAGTGACTGACCATCCATCCATCCGACTGTCCAACTGACTGTCTGATGGACCGACCGGCTGGTACATATGACGTGCACTGGCAATCTACACTAATAAAAGAGTAAGATGCAAATTGACCATACCTTTGTGATGCCCACCAGCCAATCAGGAGTGAGTATGCAAATTAACCCAACAAAGATGATGGGTTAATTTGCATATGCAGGCGCCCAGAGGCCGGGATGGGGCGGGACACTTGCATCATTGCCATGGCGATGACGCAGGCATTCCCCACTGCCCCAGCCGCTCTGGGCTTCTGGGCAGCATGGA